GGGAACGAGGGCCTGGCCAAGGCTGCAGGGGTAGGTCACAGGTCCTATTACTCCCAATGAATAGACTCAGAGGCCTGGGACAGCCAGGTTCTGACCCCAGGGTGGCTCTCTGCATCCCAGATTGGTGGTGTTCCCATTGCTATAATGCATATCCAAAGACAGGTGACAGAGTGGGCCGTCTCGAGACTTTTTAAATAGGCCATTGGTGTCCGGCCCTCTGGCAGTATTGGCCAGGACAACTGAGGCCAAGAGCCCCTCAGTGCTCAGCACTCGCACCAGCCAGGCCTCGCTCCTGGGCTGTGACAGCGGAGCCTCCCAGCGGTACCGCCAGCGAGACCTCTCTTGCTCCGTGGATAAAGGGCAGCCCATGGAGCAGGAAAAGGGAACCAAGCCTCTTCGGTTCCCCCAGGGACCCTTATCTATGTTGGCGAAAGGTCTGTGGTCAGACGCTTCCGGGTTGGCGTGCAGCCTGACACCTGCCAGCCTCGTGTTCCCCGAGCAAGCAAGTCCCACAGCCTCTGCGCCTCCACGGCCCCTCTGGGGAAGCAGGGTAACCCTTGCACCCTGACCTTCTCAGAAGGCATGGGGTGGGTGATGAACTGAGTTAGAGGTTGTAGCCACCTTGGTGAGCCTTCCCGTGCCTCACACAGTAGGTGCTCAATAAATACCGACTAAGAGCGCGTGTTGGAGCCCAGACAGTCAACTCTGTGCTGCTGATTCAGCCTCAGCGTGGCTTCGTGAGGAGAATCTATTGGCATTTCCTCCCCTGCCCCTGAGCTCACACCTTTGATGACCCTGGGAGGGGTGGGGAGGAGGTAGAACACGTACTTGAAGTGTTGGGGGGAAGATGCTGCCGAGCCGTTCTCACGACCCTCTGAGTAACACTGTACCCAGGTTTGGTGCCCTGGGAGGCACAGTAGTGTGCAAAAGAGCACTGGAAAAGGAGACTGAGTTCTAGCCCCCGCTCTGCCCTGATCAGCCATGTGCAGGTGTGGCGGTGCCCTGTTGATCTTACTTCCTGAGCCACCTCCCTGGCCTGCAGACCTGCCACCACTGCTGTCATTAAGACG